AGGAACAATTCGTTCAGGCCAGTCTCAACACCCTACACAGTAGGTTAATGGACTGACACCTATCAGAAAACAACTACTCCCCTGGCTAATACAGCGAAGGGTATTGAATTAGATTCGACAAGTGTCAGTGCAGGATTCTTCACTGAAGTTTTTCCTGCATATGCTTCTGGCATAACCTAAAACACTCCCTTGCGAACAGCCGCTTTCACCCATATTTTATTAGTGGATTGGAGGTCCTGTGATACATCATTTGAAAGGTCTCTTGACCCTCTATTACCTCCGTTGTTTAAAAAAATTATTCACCTGTTCTCGAAAAATTTGATAATAAAAACTCAAGGAAGTAGTGAGATCTGTCCACCTTAGGGAGCTTTGCCGTAATATGCCTCCTCTTCTTAGCTACTAGTAGGGTTCTTCATGGACTATAAAGTAATCGAAGAATCTGACCGTGAGTGTGCAGATGAGATGGACGTCGTCAAAAATGACCTGCTCGTAACAATGGATCAAGAGCTTTTCAGTTCTCCAACTTTTGAAGAAACCTAGTACTTAGGCTAGCTTATGCAACGACTTATCGCCTACTAAAGGGCGGGATATTTTAGGGATTTGTCTTGCTCCAAATTATGAAGCAGCAGAAGCAGAATTTCTATAAGAGGAGGAAACATACTTCCTCTGAGCAGGTTAGCAAATGCTCACGCTTGAACGATTATCCTCCCAAACTATAGGAGAGAAACCTCTGTATAGCTGACTTCCCCACACAGCACTAGATATTCTTGGAATATTCCCTGTATATCATAAAACGAACGTATATATTCCAAATATTCATAGAATATTCTTGGAATATATACATACCTTTAGAATATTCATAGAATATGCTTGAATGAATATGGCAGGATTATTCCCGAAAGAATGTGCATAGAATGTCTATAAATGGATTATTCTCCCTTGAATATTCTAAGAATATTGTCGATCGAATATACCATATGGTATATTCTTAGAATATANTCCTGAATATTTTATGAATATTCCTCGGGTTCTATTCCTGGAATATTCTTAATAGAATATACCTTAGATATTCTAAGAATATTATAAGATATTCCAAGAATATTCCCAAGGAATATTCTTGAAATATATCAAAGGTTCGCCAGGAGCACTTCCAGGGAATATTCTCCAGAAGATATATATATCCATGGCATATTCATAGCATAATACAATATCCTTAAATGTATATTCATGGAATATACCTGGAATATCTATTGCTATGTGGGGATCAATGTATCCTCAGATACATCTGATTCATATGGAGAGGTTGTTGTGGTCATTGAGGTGGGAATCTTGCACCTGGAACATTCAGCCATCTCGATATCCACCAATCGACTGAAATCTTTTCAGTATGACATTATGACTGCCGCAGTTAGTATGCTTGACAGGAGACTCACTTCCCGAGCCGAATATTATGCCTTCCTTGCTAAGGTATCCGCAGACTGACCTCCGATCAGGCTTTAACTAGATTGAGGAAAATTTGACATGGTATGTCAATCTTGCAGTGGCTATTCTTCAGGGAAATTGATGCCCTGCTAATTTATAACCTACTTCCTTTCTGCTGGAGACCGGATCAGATTTTCGACTTTTGGCAGTCTCGCTATTGCTAGATCCGAAAGATCACTCACCAGATAAAGTAATCAGCTTCATTGGGACGCCGAATTTATGAGGTTGGATAGTTGTAAGCCACAATGAAACCTATCGGGTTGCAGAAGAGGATCGAATAGACCCCGGCATTCAAAAAAGAAATGCAAAGTGTTATAGCTGCCTTCCCATCAGTGGATTCAGTGCTAGGGAAATCTAAATGGGGATATGAGGTTTGCATTAACCACATGTATCTTCGACTGAATAAGGACTAACTCCAGTTATTTCAGTTCAGGTAATTCAACGTTTAACGTGAATGTTCACAGAAATAAGTATTGTGTATTTCATTGTTTACAATACTGCGTGGTTTGGCAATGTGGAGAACTGAGATAGTTACAAGCATATGAAGATCCTATGAGTAGAACATTTTTAAAAAACGATGGCAATCAACTGAAGAAAAAATAATGTTTCTGCTAGAGGGTACACCACCACGACCTCTCCAGTTTTAGATTCTAGTAAATAAGCCAGCTATAAAACCTGATCTCGCACACTTGAATTTCTCAAAAAGAATATAATATCTCGATTATGAATGGACCAATTTTTAAAAAATCATAGAGGTACTAGAGGTACAAGAAACCTTCGAATTGATGTATCTCTGGAAGGCCCATGTCATTGGAAAAAATATGGTGGTACCTGCTACTTGAAGGGGGGTGAAATTTCTTGTGTGCATTTCATAACAATATTTGACGTTCGAAACGGTAATCGACGTGTTCAATAAAATTTTTGACAACCCATCTGTTTTTGAGTAAAGGAAGTCATTGGAACCATGGTACTCACCGTAAGTGGCCATTATAGATTTATATACGAAAATAGCTGCATGGTGAGCAGAACTAACATTGTTCTCATCTGAAAAAAATTAAGATAAAATTAATTTGTTGACAAAAAAAACATAGGTTTTTCATTACCATCTTTGTAGAAGACCTGATACTTATGGGATAAACCTAGAAAGCAGAAACATATTATAGAAAAATAAAGGGGTTGTAACAACGAATACAACACGAAAAAACTAGGACAATGAATGAAATATATAGCGCGGACGTAAAACAGTCCCAACTGTCTTCACTTTTTAACAGTAAAAGATTTTGTCACAGTACAAAATTCACGTAGAAGCACCATTTATAGTACTTTTCGATAAGACAACTGCAGGCCAATAGCCATTTCTAGTGTGCTGAGCAAAGTAATTGAAGCATGTATCTATAAACAACTACTTCCTTTTTCAACGAAACATAATATGATTGACAAATGTCAAAATGGATTTTGCTCCGGTAGATCGACGGAAAGTGCGACTACAACTTTTTTGGAAAATATCTATAAAGGTATTGACAAGGAAAATTTTGTGACCGCACTCTCCTTCGAGAGTGATTCTGTAGACTTCAATATACTGTCCAATGAACTAAGTGCAATTGGAATTCGAGGTAAATTCCTATCTTGGATTATGTCCTAAATGAAATTTCGAAAAATTAATGTAAAATGGACTTTGACTTGGAAGTTGGAGTTCCACAAGGCTCAGTCCTGGAACCATTACTGTTTTTGCTATAGTTTTTTATGCCAATGATACTTCTATTTCTAAAGAAGCCAACAGTCCTTTGGAAATTCAGGACAAACTGAAAGTCAAAATTTTTCAAAGTGGTGTCAGAGTAATAGGCTTATGGTCAATGCAGAAAAACATTGTTGGTACAGTTTTTCCCAAAAAATTCAGTGGAAGACACGTTCTTATAAATAACATGAAGATATACCCTTCAGGATTTCACATCGACCACGCATTGAACTGGAAATATCATTGTAAAATGATCATTTTCAGGAATGAATATATTGTATAGTAATAGTGTTGCAGCATTGGTTGGAGAGAGGGCACTACCAACATTAAAATTTTTCAAATAGAAAGGGGGTTATTTGATACATTGATTGAAAGGTATTTCACTTCCCTATCCAACACTTTTTCAAGAAAATATGTATTCAAAACCTAGTAATGATTTTCCAAAATGTTCACCATCCACTTTATGACAATGATGAAGTTTATTTGTAAATCCATTTCTTACATTATGACCACAAGACGATGAATGGTGGACACTATTATTTTTATCAAAAAGGACTATAAATGATGTTTATAAGTAAATTTTATCCGACCTCAATATCTTGTTCCTTTGAAAATTTGAAAGGGTGTTGCGAATGGACCGACCACTTCCTCCCCGTCAGCAAAAAGAGCAAGACTGGTTTTACATTGAAAAGTCATGAAAAACTGAGGAAAATCGGAAACCACCAGAAAAATGGTAAAAAGGTGATAATATAGTGGGTAATATAGGATAAATGAAATAGCTTTTGTTCGATTTCTACTATTTTATTTGTTAGGACCGGTTTCGGTTTTTTGAAGCATTCTCAAGTAACTGAAGTATTTTTCACAAATAAATTCTTGAATATACAATGGATTAGTACGTATATGTGCTTTTGGTACCTGCAATAGGTACCTGAAATAAAGTGTTACCTCAATTGTCAAAACCAGTACCAAAACAATACTTATTTAGAAAATTACCAACTATTGATTCCAAAAACTATACTTGTGGATTAGTACAACTACCAATGTATAGTTTTTGGGATCAATAGTTGGTAATTTTCTAAATAATCATTGTTTTGGTACCAAAAGCACATATAACCTCAAAAATTTGTTTGTGAATAATAAATATAGTTCAAAAAACTAAAAAACACGCTTTTAAAGAACATCGAACTAAAAAGTTAAAAATATTTTTTTAAATAAGCTTAAAACAGTAAAAAAGTTTATTTAAAAAAATATTTTTAACTTTTTAGTTCGATGTTCTTTAAAAGCTTGTTTTTTAGTTGTTTTAAACTATATTTATTTTTCATTTTTTAGTTTCGTACGCTATAAAAGCGTGTTTTTTAGTCTTTTCAAACTATATTTATTTTGTATTAACTTTGGGATCAATTAGCCGTATATTGTTTAGAAAAAAGACCATTGATATTTTCCGATTCCGGGGAGGGAGCCTGAACATAATAAAAAAAAATACTTTTTTCAAATGAAGAAATACATGTAAAGAGAGTTTGAATTATATAAAGGGGGTTACGTATATCAAGCGATAATGTCGATAACTCTGTCAAATACAGATCCAGAGTTCGTGAGTTACACGCAAACAAACATACATACATATAGGTGAAGCTAATATAAAAGCGTGTTAAAAAATATTTGAGTCACTTGAAAACTGTCTAGCAATCCGAAACCGGTCGTAACAAATAAAAACCGTAGTAGAAATCAGACAAAAACTATTTTATTTATCCTATATTCAATATGAATTTCTTCAAAATAAATAGGTCATCAATGGAACAAATCGGTGGGTAAGGATGGTACGACTGTTTACTAAGCAAAAGAATGCAGACTATTGTCTATAGTGGTCATCAGACTTCATAAACCTAACCCAATGCAACTACTTGTGGTATCATGTTTACTATTTATATAAACGAAAAAATAATTACATATTCGTGTTCAGGATTAATTCCCATACGATTTGAACAGCCACAATGATACGTTTTCTTCAAAAACTGCCTGAAAGCTATATTCCGGGGTTTTAGCCGTGGTCTGCACGTTTTTATGCTTTCCTGAGCAACTCAGTAACCTGAAAAATGCCTTCAAAGGAACTGGGTACAGCAAAGGAGAATTCTAGTGGGACATACGACTTAGGAGAGAGAATGTCAAAGTAACCCCAGCTACACTGATCAAGGGAAAAGCTTTCCTTTCCTATGTTGAAAATGTTACAGACCGGAATGGGAGAATCTTGGAGAAACACGACGTGAAACCAATATTAAGGCCAACAAAATCTATCACACAAAGTCTAAGGTCACACTCGACCAAATCAACCCAGCTTCTTAACGAAGCCGATTAGTTTATATTAGATGGTAAGAGTACGGCTCTGCCAAACTCTGATAACCTGATTCGGTCCCCAGCGGGGCAGGCACAAAGTATATGCTCTGCTGTTTCATCATTTTTCAAACAGAGGCAACACAGTCCGAGTCCGACAGTCCAAGTCTGTGCATATGATGATTCAAATGACAGTGACCTGTAAGAAGGCCTGTTAGACATCGTAGTTCATCCCTACTGTAGTCCAACAATTGTTTGGTATCAAGTTTCGCCTGGGAGTGAGCCAATCCAGGAAGATTCTGCCAGACGTCCATAAATCTTCTTGCCATCCAGGTGTTCAATGTTTGTTTGGCAAAGCATAAAGCAATGCCAATGACAGATTCTGGTCTGGTGAAGCTACTTGCAGCACCCTTCTTTGCAAGGAAATCAGTAGCTTCATTGTTTTCCAGTCCAGTATGATCTGGAATCCAGACCAGACAACTCGAGCACCAACTTGGGCACTGCAACCGTTACTACATCGCCTTTGATAATGTCCACCACAGTAGTAGACGAAACGTTAGGCATGAAAAAACCTGCAGATCACGTCCAAAAACCCGAAAAATAGCTTTCACACATTTACCCCATTTTTGGTTTTTCATTTTTTTTATCTAACTATTGTGAAGAGAAAATTATATTTTCAAGACGCAGTTGCAGGGCGATGGTTTTTTGAAAATTAGAGTAGTCATACAAAATAAAGTATATACGTACCTTCATCAGGCAGATATCGGAAAATTGAGGCGTTTTTTGTTTCGTTACCTAAAAAAGGTTGATTATTATAATCATTAGTGAATTCATAGACAGAAATTCGCATAATAGGTAAATGATCGAAGAATATGATAAAATATGATTATCAGGTCTCGCAGATATATTGGGTGTTCCTCAATAGTGGTGAAATAATGTGACGGCGTGTTAAGGAGCTAATTTCAATGAAAAAAGTTCATTCAAATGGAGGTCTGGAAATGTATCGTTGAGAAGATACAGGGTGTTGAACTTTTCTGAAAAATTCTTCTCATGAATCAATATTGTAGATATCTCTTGTCACCACAATAAAAATGTAACTTGACAAATGGCAAACGTTGCAAACTGTTGAAATGTAGAACTGAACGCGGTTTTGTGAAATGTCAAGTGAAAATCTTACGAATTGATATTTAAATACATCAAATGATGTGAGCTCTCACTCACAAACCGAAATAAAGAAAACAAAGAACAAAATTGAAGATAATATGGCTATGGGAGAATACTTCTGTCAATTTTCCCTTGGAATCAATTGGTTGCCGTAAAAAGAAGTTTGAGAGAGTTTTGCAAATGTAGAAAAAATTTAATAACAAAATGGTTCGAAATAGAAAACAGATTGGGAAAATAAATGACTGACAGCAAAATAGACCTGAAAATTCAAAAAAAATATTTTAATTATTTCTCATATATTAGTAGTAGTTCATTATTCAGAAAAATGAATGTTCAAAACAATATAGCCAAAAATAAATTTCAATAATGGCAGTTTTACACGAATTAAAGATACATAACAAGAAGCTTACCTCTGAAAATTCCGTCATAGTATAATCTCTTTGAGGAATCAAAGTCTGAAAACATAATAAGTTAGAAATAACACTGTTTGAAAAATGGTGAACTTACCATCGATGTAAACATCAAGATAGTAGAGAACCATTATTACCTGGAATGAAATAATAAACGAATACCTAAGTATGTGAATTTCGCTGTAAAATCGATGATTATTTGTCACAAATCTTCGTTAAAATTTTTAAAAAACATTTAAAAACTTTTTC